CATCATCTCCGTTGACTCGATCCCGCTCGTCGCGCTCGAGATTGGCGCCAGTGCAGCATACAGTGCACAACTGCGATGGGGTGAACAAGTCGCCAAGCGGCTGCGAGTGGACAAAAACGCCGCCGCCGCCGGATCCCAGCGACACTTCCGTGCCACCGACACCTCGCTGTGGTATAGTTAGCCATCGCTGGACTTCGTGGAGTGCGTCACCGAGTACGCAGGGTGCCTACATTGTGTCACGGAACGCTCGCGGGCCCTGCTGCCACCAGGCGCGCAAGCGCAAACGCAAACTGCAGAAGCCCGGGCGACGCATGAAGAGAAGTGCCTTTCTCCTCCTCCAGGAAACCCGCGGAGTCCGACAACAGTTGGAGGTCCCGATCGCCAGCTCGCCGTGCCAGTGCGAGCTCATCCACTCCGAGGCCTCGCGTTCGCGCGAGGGGGGGGGGGGGGGGCATCGCCTATCTGGCGCCATGGCCGAGGCCGCTGCCTGGCGAGCGCCGCCCAGCTGTCAATTTTCATCCTGCCATGCCTGGCCGATTCGCCACGCTGAAGATTACGCATGCCAACAACGGCGCTTGCGTCGAGATCCTGGGCGTCCACAGCTATGGCGTGCCTGATAACGGGCGCGGTGGCATCGCGCGCAACTGGAGGTCCTCCGCGGCCTGGAACGTTGCTGACCCCATGCTGCGCACCTTCACCGCCGCGGGCGACTTCAACACCAGCGAGGGCGACCCCTGCAGTTATGACGAGCCGATCGCGACGACGGGCTCCCTACCCAACAGCAGCGCAGATCAGCGATTGGAGATGTTCTGGCGGCCTCTCTCTGACATGATGCAGACGGTCCGCCCATTCATGCCGACGCACTTCAGTCGCCAACAACGCACCGCAACGGCGATTGACAAGACCTTCGCTGATATTCCTGAGCACTACTTGATGGGCTCTGATGTTTTGGTCGCGATCGATGCGGGCCCCATGGGGATATTGCAGGCCAGGCTGGGCGACCGCTCCATGCTCCGCCGCTCGCTCCGCGCCAGGGCGCCATCTAGCGCCGCCGAACATCGCGCCCCTGACGCGGTGTCCAGCGACAGAAGGTTAAAGGAAATGCTGGGCTGCCTGCTCGCCGTCACCGACATGGGGCGCATCTCGCCCGTCCAGCAGCGGCCCCGCGCGAAGGGCTTCATGGCGGAGGCTGGTCGCCAGACCCGAGACGAACTTCAGCGATTGCCATTTCGACCGAATGATCGCAGAGTTCGAGGTGGGAGAGCGGTTACATTGAGGATTATTTCCAGAGCGGTTCGGCGGCAGGACGCCCCTCTTGTCGCCTTGGCCCAGGCGACCGCGGAAGAAGGGCTCGCTTTCATCAAGTTGATGATGGGCAGGTTCGGCTGCTTCACTACGATGAGTATCGCCATGCATTTCGCTCTCTCCACGTCGTTGAACTGGCGGTCGCACAACGGCGCGCAGCGCAGGCAGCCCAACGGGCGCGGCGCACTGGCGACCGTCTGGGAGCCGCTGCCCACTTCGAATATCAGAGGGCCGTTCGCGAACAAGCCATGGCATGGGGGCCCAGAGGAAGGGCGCTGATTTATTTCGCGCCCATTCGCTCTGGGCACCCCGTGGGCCCCGGCGAGCAGGTCGCAGCGAAGTCCCCCGCGGAGGCCCGGAGGCTCGGTGGGCCAACGCCTTTCGGGCCAAGCCGGCTAGCAAGCTGGGCGCCCAGCACTATCATGGGGGGCTCTACCCAGCCCAGGACGTGGCCGACATCGCCGCGCCCCAGCGCCGAGGACCTCAAGACGGCCTTCAAACGCGCGCGACGCAGCGTCGCTGGCCCAGGTGCGATCCCCTGCAAGGATTGGATGGCACCCGACGAGTTCCCCCCCGCGCTCCACGGGTTCTTGAGACATCTGATTGCAGGCCATTGTATTCATGAGTCCCTGAATGATTCCCTCTTCGCTTTTCTCCCGAAGGGCAAAGAGCCCCTCGACCCGCGCGAATGCATTGGAAGCCCTCTCAGATGAGGCCCCTGTCGCTGCGCAGCACTGATTCGAAGGTCCTCGCAGCTGCTGCTAATCGCAAGCTTGAGCGTCTGGCGCAGGACCGCGCTCGCGGGGCCCAGCAGGGCTTTGTCCCCAGACGGACTGTTCTAAGCTATCTGACCCACCTTGACGCGGCGGCGCGCGCGAGCATGCGCGAAAAGGCCGAGCGGGATGCTCCCATGTTGGTTGCGCTTGACATCGCTGCCGCGCTTCCCTCCCTGGGCCATGATTGGCCAGGGGCCGTGTTGGGGCGCGGGGGGCGCCCCGCGGGATTTCGCAATCAGACTTGGGCCTTGTTATCTCTCACAAGGGCTATGCCGCAGTCAGCGGCGAGCAGCAATTCATACTCGATCTACAACGGGCCCCCACGCAAGGATGCCCGCTGTCAGGCTCGGTCTGGGCCATAACACTAGGCCCGATATTGAAACACTTAGTGGGGGAGGCATCGTCGTCGCCCCTGGGCGAGCGTCGTGGGGCCGTGGGGGGATGCGCTGGTGACGCTGGCCTTGCGCAGCCTCGATTGGCTATTTGCCGGGCGTCTCCAGTCTTTCAAGCGGCCGAACGCCTGGCGCACTTTCGTTTGCAAACGACCAAAACTACCCTTGTGCCACTATGGACGCTTAGATGCCGCTGTAGTCGCACGCATTCGGTGCTTCCTCGAACGTCACATTCCGACGCGGGCGGACATCTCGGTCGCATCGCACGCGACAGATCTCGGCGCCCAGTTCGGGCCAGGGGCCACCGAGGCCGGCATTCGGGCAAATGCCGCTCGCAAATGGCGGGCGCGCACGTGTGCGATTGCAGCTGCCGGCAGCCCGAGTAGCGTGAGACTTTTCTTATATGCCAGCATTGCTCTGTTGGCGTTGAGCAATCTCGCGCAGTTCTACCCAAGTCCTCGGCGGGCGCTGTCGAGAGGGACTTTCGCACTACGCGAAGTTCTGCGCCTTCCACCGCGCACTTCTCGGAAGGCGGATCTCTTCGCATTCGAGGATCATGTGCTCGCCTCGCCAGCCTCAGCGCAGATTCGTAGCTTGGCGAGTCTTTGGCGCTGTGCGCATCACGCGCTGAAGGGATGGGAGACAGAGCTTCGCTCCTGGTCAGAACAAGCGGTGAGAGACCTCCCGCTCGCGGCATGGATCCAGCAGAGATGGAGCGCACCTTGCTGAAAGATTTCGCAGGGCATTTTTACAGCGGCTTCAATCGCTCAAGGGGCATTTCTCCGATCCTAGCGTCGATGACACGCAGTGGATGAATGCTGCGGCTGCGGCCCGCAATGGGCTCAGCGATGCCCGCGCCGCTGGTCGCGAGGCGAAGGTGCAGCGCATCTTCTCCACTTCCCTTCGCCGCCTCTTCTGCCCCCCAGGTTTCCAGCTCACCATTGGCAAGCGACTGCGCGCATGGGGTTAGTTGCGGCAGATGGCGGGGGCGGTCGGGGGGCGGCGGGCCGTCTCTCGGCCCTTCGGGCGCGGCGTCCGTCGCGGCAGCGGTCAGCGCTTAGAACCCTCGCAGGAGGGTGGGCCACCGCGCGCCGCATGCACGTCTGCGGCACCGCGCCCTGCCTCTTCGAATGCGCAGATGTGCCCGACGCGATTGCCCATTACCTTTCCTGTCCTGTTCGTCGACGCTTTTTTGATTTCTCTGCCTCTCTCATTCACACGCTGGGCCTTGCGGCCCCGAACGAAGGCGACACCGCCAATTGTGCGATGAGCCGAGCTGGAGCGCTTGCGCGCTGTGTCTTCGCATTTCCACGTGTATCGCAATGCCGGGGCCGCGCGCGACCAGCCGCTGCGCGACGAGCAGCTGGATCCTTGCAGCGGCCCGTCACGCCACTTTCAAATCGGCTGCTGTGGACGAACCACATTATAGATACGGTCGGTCATCATCATCAGAAGCAGATTCATCATAATCGTCATCACCATAATTCTAAGCATCAGCAGCATCATCAGCAGCACCATCATCATCAGCAGCATCAGCATCAGCATCAGCAAACTAACCGACGTCATCATCACCATTACCATCATCATCACCACCACCATCGTCGTCATCACATCATCATCATCATCAGCATCGCCATTGTCGTCATCAGCTTCATTGCCACAGCAATCCTCGCCGTGGCCATCACAATCGGCATTACTTCAGCACACCCAGCACAGCTCTTCATGGCCCCATGCGGAGCTCCACCTAAGGCCCCAGTGGCGGCGGCCACATGCGTCCCCCCACTCAGCATTTCGTTTCGTGGCCCCATAGGGAGCTTCAGTTCAGGCTACAGTGGCGGTGTCCACGTGAGTCTCCCGCACCCAACACAGCGCTTCGTGGCCGCATGGGAAGCTTCTCCTCAGGCTACAATAGCGGTGTCCACGTGCGTCTCCCCCACCCAGCAGCACAACGTGTCGTGGCGTACAGGGAGCTCCACCGAAGGCCCCAGTGGCGGTGTTCGCATGCATTCCCCCTGCTCACTACAGCGATTCGTGGGGAGTTCCACTTAAGGCCCCAGTGGAGGGCCCGCCCCGTTGCGGCGCACCTCTCGCGCGCTTCGTGGCCCCATAGTGGGCTCCGCCGACAGACCCAGCGGCAGCGCCCACATGGCGGCTTCGCCCCATATCGGCACAACCTTCGCATGCTTCAAGGCCGTTTTGAGGAGATCCCCCGAAAGTGATACCCGCAACGACGATTCTCGCCCCGACCTCTTCCGCAGGCCCAGCGTTGCGTCCCGGATCCGTTGTCGATGGTCCCGGGCCCCGAGTGCCGACAACGGGCCCCAGAGACCGAGATCGAGGAATCATTGCCGGTGGACGCAACTCATCGCCTGAGAGGGTGGGTCTGCGTACAGCATAAAGCAAAGTCTTCGGCCGGCCAGCCGGGCTGGCAAGAGATGGTCCGCGCAGATCTGTACATGTGAATTTCTTTATCCTTGTTGAGTTGTTGTGAGGGTTTGTCGTAGAAAAATCGCTGGATCACCCGCAGGCGGCGCTCAGCGAGGGCAAGCCGGTGCTGGTGGACTTCATGGCCCCCAGGTCGGAGGGGTTGCAAGTGGGCGCCCAGGGAGGCCCGGGGCTGCACGCGGGCCGCCCCGGAAGCACGCAGTCGCCGGCGGCGTTAAGCGGGCAGGCTCGTGAGAGGGCCTTGTCAGAGCCCCGAATCATCCGGGGTAACTCGGGTCAGGGCTAACTCGGGTTCGCTTTTCGGGAATCCAAGCCCGAGTTACCCCGGACCCGAGTTACCCCGGATAACTCGGGCGCAAAACCTTGCCTTCGAGGATCGAAGGAGTTGTCATCTCGTCCGCGGCGGAGGGCGGCGGAAGGTCGGCGGAAGCAAAACGAGGCCGCGGAAGCCGGCGAAAGCTCGGGGGAAGGCGCCGGAAGAGAAAATGCGCCCCTAGGAGATGGAAGCGTTTCTGGGTTCAGAGTTTCCGAAGTCGCCCATCTCCGAATCAAGTTTAAGTAACATCGAAGAACCACTGTACGCCTTTGAGTGCATCGCGAGCTGGCAGAGCGAAGCCGAGCCAATGGTAGACGCATTTCTGCCTTAAGCATTTCGATGCGACAAAGATTGCCCCCTCGATTTACATTGATTTGGGCACCAGGATTGATATGGTTCTTGATGCAGTTCCCTCCATCCTTTCCCCGCCCTTCATCGATTCGTTCCTCCACATCATGCTGATACCATGCTGTCGTTGCTGCTGCTGCTGCTGCCGATGCTGTTCCTGTCGCTGCTACTCGTCACCGTCCCCCCGTCGTTCATAATCAGCCTCTTCCTCTTTTTCCCTCCCCGTCCTTTGGTAATTCTCCTCGTCATCTTGGTTCATAATTTGGTTTCTGGTGTGCAGTCCCAGCTGCCGCCAGTCTCGGACGGTCTCGGGACCCAGCGGCGCCTCCAGCGCCGAGTTCCAGGGCGTTCCGCGCCTTAGGCCTGGGGCACAGTGGAGACCGCGAGATACGGACCGCTTCGGGCTCGGGAGAGGCTCTGGTTTTCAGAATTTCAGGCCGTTCCCCAGATTCGGGTAGTGGAGACTACTCGCGGCCGAGGCTCGCAGTGGCCAGAGAAGCCCATTCGCTCCTTGTTCGGCGTTCCCTGTGGTGGCACGATGACTGCACTGGGACCGCCCTGGGCTACGCAGTGGGGGCCTGCTGGGGCCAGCCCAGACTACCTCTGGGGGCTGTCTGTGCGCAGCCCCAGCTCTTGCCACCACCACTGCCACGATCGGGGCCCAGCTCCTCCAGCGGGCAGGCCCCCCGTCACGTCGGCCGTCGACCGAGGCTGCACTCCGAAGAGCATCCTCGCACACCAAGCTCGGAGTCACCTCCCTCGGGCGAAAGTGCCCCCCCGATCTCGATGGCGGCGTGGACTTGTCGCCCTCCTGCCAGGTGCCCCTCGTGCAGGCGCCTGGACGAGGTGCTGGACGCCTTCGCCGACTACTTCGGCGACCGCGTCCAGGTGCTCAGGGTCAACGTGCTCGAGCACCGGCACTTCTTGGACCAGCTCGGCTTCAGCAGGGTGCCAGCGGTATTCCTGTTCGAGCCCAGATCGGGCCAGCCCGTCGACAGCTTCGTTGGGGCTCAGGCCAAGGGGCTCGACATCCTCAGGTCGATCGAGGAGAAGCTCCTCGCCTAACCCACCGGACCGGTCCCTGGCCTGGCGCATGACATGGAGGATGCCGTCGAGCCGTCGCTCGTGGCTGGAGCCGTTCGGTCTCACAGAGCGGCCGCCGAAACTTTTTGAGAGCCACTGCCGCTTTATGGTAGGTCGCCAGCAATCCTCTCGACTGGTGAGGCGGGAGGGGTGGAGCACCGGGAGGTCTTGTCTTCAACCCTTCTACGGTGGGTACTCGTTTTTCCAAACCATCCTGTGGTGTTGGGTCCTCGTTTTGAAGAGACAGTTCCCCGCGTCTCCCTCCCTCCTCTGCCCCCTCCTGCCTCCTCCAATCCCTGCCTCTGCCCTCCGCATGTCAACCTGTTCGGTACACCTTTCACACGTTTCGTGGCCCATAGGGGGCTCCACCGAAGGCCCCAGTGGCAGGGCTCACATGCGCCTCCCCCACCCAGCACTACGTTTTGTGCCCCCATGGGAGCTCCACGAAAGCCTCAGTGGCAAGGTCCACACGCGTCTCCCCCACCCAGTGCAACGGGTCGAGGCCCATACGGGGGCTCAACCGGAGGCGCCAGTGGCAGGGTTCCCATGCGTGTCCCCCGCCCAGTGCAACCGAAGGCCCCAGTGGCAAGGTCCACATGCGTCTCCCCCACCCAGTACAACGTTTCGTGGCCCATCTGGAGTTCCACCGAAACCTCCGTGGGCAGGCATACATGCATCTCCCCCACCCAGTACAGCGTTTCGTGGCGCACAGGGGGCTCAACCGAAGGTCCTAGCGGCAGGGTTCACATGCGCCTCCCCACCCAGTACAACGATTCGTGGCCCAATAGGGAGCTCCACCGAAGGCACCAGTGGAAAGGTCCACATGCGTCTCCCCCACCCAGTACAGCGCCCCAGTGGGAAGGTCCACATGCGTCTCCCCCACCCAGTACAGCGCTTCGTGGCCCATCGGGAGCTCCACCGAAGGCACCAGTGGGAGGGTCAGCATGCGTGCCCCCACCCAGTACAGCGTTTCGCGGCGCACAGGGAGCTCCACCGAAGACCCCGCTGGAAGGGTCCGCATGCGTTCCACCCACCCAGTGCAACGCTCCGTGGCTTATAGGAAGCCCCACCGAAGGCTCCATTTGCACTGTCCGCATGCGTCTCCCCGATCCAGTACAACATTTCGTGGCCCATCGGGTGCTTCACCGAAGGCCCCAGTGGCAGGGTCGGCATGCGTGTCTGCCACCCAGTACAGCGCTTCGCTGCCCTATAGGGAGTTCCACCGACGGCCCTAGTGGGATGGTCCGCATGCGTCTCCTCCATCCAGTACAGCGTTTCGTGGCCCATTGAGAGCTCCACCGGGGGTAGCGTTCGCATGTGCTCACCACCTACCGTGCAGCGCTTGGTGTCCTCGCAGGGAGCTCCATCGAAGGCCCCCCGTGGGAGGGTCCGCAGGCGTCCCCCCCACCAAGTGCAGCGCTTCGCGGTTTCATCAGGGGGCTCCACCGAAGGTCCTGGTGGGAGGGTCCGCATGCGCCCCCCTCCACCCAGTACAGCGTTCCGCGGCCCAAACAGGGAGCTCCACCGAAGACCCCATAGGCCGCGGCCGCATGCACCTCTCCCACGCCCGGTGCAGCGCTTCGTGTCCCCGTAGGGAGCTCCACCGAAGACCCCAGTGGCCGCGGCCGCACGCGCCCCCCCACCCATTTACGGCATACACCAGCTCGGCCGCAGGCGGTACACCCAATCCGATATTCACAATTGCATATGTTAGGGCCCTTTGTCTGCATAGACTATGGTGGTCTCCGTCCTCCTCCCGCCTCTCTCTTGTTCCTTCCTCCAGCATCCTACTTCCGACTTGCTTCTCGCGTACCTCCCCTCCTCCCTCGCGGCTCCATGTGATTGCCGCACCTGCGCAGTTGTGGCCCCTTGTGTGGTCTCATGGCAAGCGCAGCGCTGTGGTGTCAGACTCACATCCAGACAAGTCCGCGCGGTTCTCCTGGGGGTGTTGCCACCTGCGCAACCGTCGCCACGTTCGCGGGCCCCTGGGGGGTCCAGCGCAACGGTGACACACGCGCATCCAGATCAGACCTTGCGGGTCCTTGGGGAGGCTGCCACCTGCGCATGCGTCGCCGTTTTCGCGGGCTCATGGGAGGCCCAGCGCAGTGCTGTCATACCCGAATCCAGCCTAGACCTCGCGGCTCCCTGGGTGTGGTGTCAGTCGCGCAATTGTCGCCACCTTCGTGGGCTCCTGGAGGACCCAGCGGAGTGGTGTCATACGCAAATCCAGACTCGACCTCGCGGTTCCCGGGCGGGGGGGCACCTGAGCAATTCTCGCTATTGTCTGCGGGCTCCTGGGAGGCCGAGCGCAGAGGTGTCATACTCACATCTAGGCTAGGCTTCGCGGATCCCTGGGGGTGCTGCCACTTGCGCAACGGTCTCCATGTTCATGGGCGCTTGCGAGGACCAGCGCAAGTGTGGTTTACGCGCATCCAAATCAGACTTCGCAGTTCCCTGGGGCTGCTGCCACTTGCGCATTCGTCACCACTTTCATGGGCTCCTGCGAGCCCAGCGGAGTGGCTTCGCATGCAAACTCAGTCTAGACCTCGCAGCTCCCTGGGGGTGCTGCCACCTGCGCAATCGTTGCCCTTGTCGTGGGCTCCTGGGAGGCCCAGCGCAGTGGTGCCACACGTGCATCCAGATCAGACTTCGCGGCTCCCTGGGGGTTGCTACCACCTTCGCATTTGTCGCAAATGTCGTTGGCTCCTTAGGAGGCCCAGCGGAGTGTTTTCGTATGCAAATTCAGCCTAGACCTCGCGGCTCCCTGGGTGTGCTGCCAAATGCGCAACCGTCGCCACTGTCGCGGGCTTCTTGGGGACCCCATCTGAGTGGTGTCATGCCTGCGCACGGTCAGAATAAACCTCGCGGCTCCCTGGGGGTGCTTTCACTTGCGCAACCGTTGCCGCTGTCGTGGGCTCCTGGGAGGTCCAGCTCAGAGGTGTCGTACGCACGTCCAAACTAGACCTCGCGGCTCCGTGGTGGGTGCTGCCACCTGCCCAACCTTTGCCACTCTCGTGGGCGCTGGGGAAGTCCAGCGCTGTGATGCCATACGCACGTCCAGACTAGACCTCGCAGCTCCTTTGGGGTGCTGCCACCTGGGCAACCGTTGCCACGTTCGTGGGCTTCCGCGAAGCCCAGCGCAGTGGTGCGTTTCACAGATCCAGCCGAGACCTCGCCGCTCCCTGGGTTTGCTGCCACCTGCGCAACCGTCGCCACTGTCGTGGGCTCGTGGGAGGCCCAGCGCAGCGATGTTGAACGCGCATCCATTTCAGACCTCGCGGCTCCCGGGAGATGTTGCCACCTGCGCAACCGTCGCCATTTTCGTGGCCAAGCGCAGAGGTGTCATACGCAAGGCACCACTCTAGGGCGCTGCATCATTGAACAACTCCTCGTGCACCGTGGAACGCGTGAGCCCTACATTTAGCTGTCATCGCAACTTTCTATCCGTGTCATGTGATCATCCGCGTGAAGCGGGCACACTGCTACGGCCAACTGTTGCCGATGGGTTGGGTACGTCGCCGGGTAATGTAACAGAGAGTCTAACAACAAGTGATCGGCGGCAAGGCTAGACTTGCTCACGTTACTACCGCTGGATCGCCCAAGCGTGCCAGTAGGAGATTGGGGTGACCGCGCGAATTGCCCATTTGAAGAAGGTCCCCTTGTCTGGCAGCTGCACACTCAGTTCGCCGATTCTCCATGCAGGTTCTCCGCTCTGGCGTTCGCCACACTGGCGGCGCCTCTACTCGCCCGTCTTGTTGTCACCACGCGTGCCAATTCGAGCAGCAATAGTCTGTCACATTGCTTAGAGTTGACGTACCATGCAGGTACACCGATCGATGCAGAAGTGCAGAAGTGTGTCGCAATGAAGGACATGCTCTGCATCAGCCCGGCCGGATGGCCATTGAACATTTCTTCATTTTCCGCTGCTGTGCCGATTGCACGAATGGTGCCTTTATCGATTAGGTTCATGTTCTGGCGATGACAGCGCTGACCCTGGTTTCCCCGGTGGTCACGGAAAACACAGGGGTATGCGCACAGTGGGCTCCCATCCCGGTCTTCATGTTATCCGCGGCTCATGGTGGAAGATCAACAACCAGAGCAGGCTCAATTCACCCGCTTACGGTTTATGGTCAACCCGTCAGGGAACAAGCGCAGGCATCAGCCTCATGGCCAGATCTCCATGGGGAGATTTTTCCGATTGCTTTTTTGCTCTTCATCGAGAGCCTCGGCCGAATGGTGGCAGAGACCGGGCGGCGAGATGTGCATTAGATCTCGTCGCCCGAAGAGAGCGACCGCAGGAGACCTCGAACTACACCAGGCAGCTCAACGACGCGATGACTGAGAAGCACGACCGGTGGGGAACAGCCTCTTCGGGCGCGTCGAGGGCTCAGCGCTCCTGGTGGCTCCCGCCGCTCCAAAAAGGGCCTCGCTTTCGAGTGGGAAGGCAGCGGAAGTGAAACGCCTGAAGTGAAGTGGGGGCGCCTCCGCCGGCGGAAGCAACGGTTGGCCCCCTCCAAGGATTGGCAAGGTTTTGAGGCCCAGGGTTTCCGGAGCGGGCTACATGCAGAGGGGTGCAGGAACGCGTGTTGTTGGAACGCGTGCGATTTGTTCGCCTGGCTCTCACCATGTTCTCAGCGCATTTTGATCTGATCCACGAGCGTCGACAACACTCCCGCGACGGAGGGCCGCGCGCCACGCGAGGAACCTCGAGGGCATGTCCCCAGCAGATCGGAGACCGAGGATGTCTCGTGGGAGGCGCGCGTGCGAGGATGGCGCCTGCGTCTGTTTGGCTTCCCGCTGCTGCTCCTTCTCGATCGGAGAGCTAGGATGTGGTGCCTCGTGGGAGGCGGGAGTGCGAAGATGGCGCCTGTGCCTGTTTGGTTTGCCCGCCCCGCTGCCAGTTCCCGGCGGCGCGCACATTTCGGGTGGCGCGAGGGGGAGCGGTCTTCTCAGAGGGCGGGGCGCTTCTTAGCATACCGGGG